GTTAGAAATACATCGCAGCAGAATGGGGTGGCAGAACGCATGAACCGAATGTTGCTGGAGAAAGTTCAGTGTATGTTGTCTAATGCTGGGTGAGACAAGAAATTTTGGCTGAGGCTTTGCCATTTGCATGCCATCTCATTAATCGATTACCATCGACTGCTATTGATGGTAAAACACCTATAGAGGTATGGTGTGGAGAACCTGCTAATGAGTATGATTCCTTACGTGTGTTTGGTTCCACTGCATACTATCATGTTAAGGAATCGAAGCTGGATCCAAGAGCTAAGAAAGCCATTTTCATGGGGATAAGCACAAGTGTTAAAGGCTATCTAAAGCACAGTGTTAAAGGCTATCGACTATGGTGTACGAAATCCAAAGAAAATAATCTTTAGCAGAAGATGTCACTTTTGATGAATCTACCATGTTAAAAAAAGGTGACAGTAGAGCAGTCAGATGGTATCCCACAACAAGTGGAGATAACCTCACAACCAGGTGGAGTTTTTAATAGAAAAATCCCAAGTGGGTAGGGTACTGAAACGCTGTAGAAACTCCTGAAGGTAAGAAGGAGTTTTAGATGAAGAGGAGGTTTCAAACTCCAAAGAGCCGCTCCCCATAGCAAACTTGAGTCAATTGCACTTGATAGGCCAAGAAGATCTATAAGAAAGCTCCTGCTCGGTTTTGATGATATGGTGAACCTATGCCAATTAAATACAGATATAGCATTCCATCCGCTTTTAAATGAAGCTGTCAAAAAGTTCCAAGACGAAGTAAAGTGGAGAAAAGCTATGGAAGATGAAATGAAGTTCCCTTTATAAGAAATCAGAACATGGAACATAGTTGAGTCCACAAAGGAAGAGCGATCGGATGCAAGGATGCAAATGGGTATATGCAAAGAAAGAAGGATTTCCTGACAGAGACAATGTTCACTATAAGGCAAGGTTGGTAGCTAAAGGCTACGCTCAGACTGAGGGAATTGATTATAATGAAGTGTTTTCTCCAGTTGTAAAACATTTCTCTATTCGAATTTTGTTAGCCTTGGTAGCACAGTTTGATTTGGAACTAGTTCAATTGGATGTAAAAACTGCATTTTTACATGGAGATCTAGAAGAGAAAATCTACATGACTCAGCCAGAAGGATTCAAAGTTGCAGGAAAGGAAAATATGGTATGCAAACTTGAAAAATCGCTTTACGGATTGAAGCAATCTCCGAGGCAGTGGTACTCCGAGGCAGTGGTACAAGCGATTTGATAAGTTTATGCAAGGGCAGAAGTACACAAGAAGCAAATATGATCATTGTGTGTATTTGCGCAAGCTACAAGATGGTTCTTTCATTTATGTTCTTTTGTATGTTGATGAGATGCTGATAGCTTCAAAGATTAAACAAGAAATTAAGAATTTGAAGAATTAGTTGGATCAAGAATTTAAAATGAAAGATATGGGCGAAGCAAAAAGGATTCTCGACATGGAGATAACCAGAGATAGGAAATTAGGGAGACTTTGTCTGAATCAGAAGCAATATCTCAGAAAGATACTAAAGCGTTTTGGTATGGATGACAAAACCAAACCTATTAGTACACCTCTTTCTCCTCATTTCAAACTTAGTGCTGCTCAGTCACCAAAAAATGATGCAGAAAGGGAATACATGTCAAGCTCAGTCACCAAAAAATGATGCAGAAAGGGAATACATGTCAAGAGTTCCCTATGCAAATGTTGTGGGTAGCTTGATGTATGCTATGGTGTGTACGAGGCCTGACATTGCACATGCAGTTGGAGTTATGAGCAGGTGCATGCATGATCCTGGCAAGGATCATTGGCAATCTGTGAAATGGATTCTGCGGTATCTTTTGAACACCGTGGATGTTGGATTGATTTTTGAGCAGGATAAGAATAGTGGTCAAAACATAGTCGGATACTGTGATTCTGACTATGCCGGTGATTTGGATAAATGTCAATCAACTACTGGTTATGTGTTTACTCTTGCAAAAGCACCAGCTAGTTGGAAGTCTACTTTACAGTCAATAATGGCTTTGTCCACAACAGAGGTAGAGTTTATGGCAGTTACAGAGGCTGTGAAGGAAGCAATTTGGCTTGAAGGATTGCTTGATGAATTGGGAATTAGGCAAAATAACATTGTTATACATTGCGATAGCCAAAGTGCTATTCACAGTGCTATTCACTTGGCAAAGAACCAAGTTTATCATGCAAGGACGAAGCATATCGACATTCGATTTCATTTTGTTAGAGAAATTTTGGAGGAAGGACAAGTTCAACTCCAGAAGATTTAGACTACTTAGAATTCTGCTGATATATTGATAAAAGTGGTAACAGCTGTCAAGTTCAAATACTGTTTGGACTTGATTAATATTGTTAAAAATTGAAGCTTGATACTGCTAAGCGCATTTGAAGACATTGCAACTTTGTGAGAGAGAGAGAGCAGAAATTTGTATTGGTAGAATTTTCGCCAAGGTGGAGACTGTTGGTTTGGTGGCTCAATCCCACATCGGGATTTTAGCAAGGGAGAGGGTGGCCTCTCCTCTATATAAGGAGCCTACTCCTTCAGTTTTAGATGTCCCAACTTGTCTTCCAATACCTAGTGGGTTAGACAAGTTTCTCTCCTCTCTCAATTTGTATATTTCTTCAGTGAAATATAAATTTGGTAGTGTCCGAGGACGTAGGCAAAACTGGCCGAACCTCGTTAAAATTCTGGTGTTCTCTCTTATTTATTGCTTTTCTTATTTGATTGCTCGTTGGCTGAGTATTTATTTAATAGCCTACATTGTTGACAAGGTGTCGGGGGGGGGTAACCTTATTTTCGCGTGGTAATAAATGTTCTGATTAATTTGCGATGTCTAGAAATCTGTGCAAAACCGACACGAATTCTAGGTCTAGGCAAGTGGTGTCTTTATTTATTTAATAGCTATTGTTGGACAAAAATATTTTGGTGGTTATTGTCTGATTAATTGCATGTCTAGGTAAATTCTGTCAAACGACACGAATTCAGTCTAAGGCAAGTGGATTTTAAGTGAGACCATTTGTGACTCAGTACAATACAGTAATTCATAGTAATTCACAAATTGTTTTTAAGGGGAACTTATCTGAGAATTTACCCGGTGTAGCTATTCAGTACAGTAATTCACAAATTGTTTTTAATTTGGTGGAAAAAGCCCAATTTCCACAGCAGTTAAAAGGATGGAGAGTTTTATTATAAAATTTTGAGTTGTTTAAGTTTGCGGAATTTATTTAGAAATTCAATTTTTTTTGGTAGAATTTAGTTTAGTTCTATTAAAACCTATAAAATTGTATTCTTATTTTTTTTTATACCAAATACAAAAATTAGATTTATTAATAAATTTCACAAAATTTTCAAAGTAGAATATATCTATACCAAACAGGATGTTTTTTTTTTTAACCAAATACATTGAAAGATATAGGTAAAAAATCAAATCCTAAATGAATTTGAATTACTGATGTGTCCTTTACAATACATCGTAAATAAACTGTTAGTGGAATTATCCCTTTTTTTTTTTTGAGAAGAAATGGAATAATCCCAAATTGGTTAGTTATTATTACATCAAAGATAAGTTTGACTTGGAGGAAATTGGATGTCTAATGCACCAAATTAAGTTGATCTATATTTATAACAAAACTCCAAGAGTTATTTGAGTGAAATAATAATTTTTTAAAAAATATTTTTTTTCCAAAATTGGATTCACTAATAAAGATATAAGTGCACTTCAAATATAAAATTTAAACCTTCAATTTCAACATTAGATTGCTACTCAGATCCAGTTAATTTAAACTAAAATTTACTGATATAAATTTATCTATAAATGCCATTAATGCGTCGATTAGCAGTAAAAATCTCCATTATCTCCTTTTTTTTTTTCTTGCATCAAACATTCATAAAGATGAGAGAAATTAGAATTTTGGGCTAAATGATGCATATGTATCTACTTTGCAGCGTGGCAAGACTCAATTCATGCTAGAATTTTTTTTTTTTCATTTAAAAGAAAAGAATAACTCACACCCGATTTAAATTGATCGAAATCGAATCAAAGGTTAATGTTGAACTTTTTTTTTTTAAAAGAAAAAAATTTTTTTTTTGGTATAAACTAAAACCGAACCTTATTACAGGGCTCAATAAAATCCGGTTCGGAGTTTAATCACAGTTAAGGCCATTAAGGCTCTTCGACCGACTAAATCTGACTTGGAGTTTAGTCACAGTCAAGGCTGTTCGTTCCTCATTACAAATGTGTTTAGTGGGGAGAGTTATTTTCATATGTTCAGTCTGCGTTGCTGACTGATATTAATTAAAGGATTCATTAATAAAAATCATTAAGAAAAATAAAACTAAAAATGACGGGACTCCATTTTTTAAGATCAGACAAAAGAACAAGCAGAGTTGCTGTGATTATATATTGTTCACGGTCCGTTTCAATTGACAAAAATTAGTTAAAGATTATCATTGAAGTTACATTTTTTAAATTTTGTATCTTTTAATTAAAAAATAAAGTTTATACAAAAACAAAAAAACACATTAAAGATTGAAAATTTTAAGTAAGTCTTAAATTAAATTTTTTATTAGTAATGAGATTTTGTTGAGAGAAGAAATTAAAAAAAAAAAAAATTCTAAAGGGAATGTTTTATTTTAATTATTCTATTGCAACAAGATTTATCTGCCGTGGTTTTAACTCCCAATCACACAAGAATTTCATCATTCTCCATGGAGGATATGAAAGATAATGTCGCAGCAAGTTGTAAAATTACTATAAATACAAAAACAAGAGGGGTCATAATATAAATACAAGAAAATAATAGGAGAAACATACAATTTCCACTTTCTTCTTTTGATTTAAAACAAAAATTACTGTTTTAAACTTCTTTTTTTTTAAATTTTAAAGACAACTGTTTTACACTTTTTCATAGCCGGAAAAGGAAATAGTAAATAAAATAAATAAAATCCAAGCTAAAGTTCAGAAAAGCCGTCATCGTTTTTCCCTGTTGGAGAAAGTAATAAATTCATAATACGAACAAAAACCAAAACCAAACAACACTTAATGGTGTGTTCTTTTTTATTATTTTTAAATCATATATATAATTCCTAAGTATACAATCGACAGTATCTCTCTGTGTGTTTCTCTCTGGTTGAAAAGTATTCCTGGTTTGGAGTTGCAAAGCTATGGCGGAATCGGTTGAGCTACCTAGTCGATTAGCGATCCTTCCTTTTAGAAACAAAGTGCTTTTACCTGGCGCTATCATTCGAATTCGTTGCACTTCCCCTAGCAGGTTTTTTTTTTTCTTGATCAATTGATAGTTAATTGATTGATTATGGTTAATTGGTTGTCAAATTGATGAAGAGTCGCGTCTTTTGTTTGGCTGATTTTTACTAGTGTGAAATTGGTGGAGCAAGAGCTATGGCAGAGAGAGGAGAAGGGTTTGATAGGCATTTTGCCTGTTCGTGATGCAGCGGCAGAGGAGACTACTGCTTCAGTGGGTCCCACGTTATCTCAAGGTAATTGTAATTGTTAGTCAATTACTTCCTTTTTTTTTTTGTTCGTGCTCTTCTGTTTCCACGTGCTTTGAATAATAGAAAATGATTTTTTTTTGTTTGTGTTTTGAAATTTTTGTTATAATTAGGTGTTGGGAGTGATTCTGGGGAGAGAAGCTCCAAAATTCAAGTTGGTAACGCTGAAAATCTCAAACTTGATGGCAAAAATCAGCAGGAAGTTATTCGCTGGCATAACAGGTTTACTTTTAATCATGAAGTTTTTTTTATGTTACTCTTAATTTGGCTTTGTCGCTTTTGATGGATACTCTTTGTTTTGATAGATATTTCTCTCTTTTGCATTCAATATTCTGTTAGAACTAATGATTTTTTTGCTGCTCAATTTTGTGCTAGTTGTGATTGATTTTTGTTATAATTCTTGGTTTCTTAGGGGAGTGGCGGCTCGGGCGTTACATCTGTCCAGAGGTGTGGAGAAACCTAGTGGGAGAGTGACATATATAGTTGTTCTTGAAGGTTTGTGCAGATTCAGTGTCCAAGAGCTTAGCAAAAGAGGGATGTATTACACTGCACGGATATCTTCTCTTGAGATGACAAAGGCTGGTCCGTTTTAAATTAAATTCTTTTCAGTTTATACATATTAATATTACCTTTTTTGATTTTCAGTCAAAGGATTTCACAATTCATTAGGTGCTGAGTGATAGCATTATTTATCAATGTGCTGAGTCATTTTTGTATTTCTCGGTCTTACCATAACTAGAGATGGAACAAGTGGAGCAAGATCCTGATTTTGTATCATTGTCTCGCCAGTTCAAAGCAACCGCCGTGGAACTCATTTCTGTTCTTGAGCAGGTAATTGTTTTGGGGTTTAAAATTGTGGAAATGCCTCCCCGTCTTTTGCTTCTGCATCATGAACTAAGTCATTTTAATATATGAACATTGGAAATCTGTAATTCTATACAAATCTAGTCTTTTCATGGTAGTCGTTCCTCTGTTTGATCTATTCCTTCTTCTTGCTGCATTGCATTCTCATTTGGCTATTCTTTTTGAAAATTATCTCGTGTACTATTTGTGTAGAGCTATTGTTCATTATTATTAATATTTTGTGGAGAACTGTTAATTTATTCACGATGCACGTGCTATGATTATGCTATTGCTCTATCAGTTATTCTTATTTCCATTTCTGCTCATAGAAGCAAAAAACTGGTGGAAGGACAAAGGTTCTTTTGGAAACAGTTCCTGTTCACAAATTGGCAGATATTTTTGTTGCTAGCTTTGAGATGAGTTTTGAAGAGCAACTATCCATGCTAGATTCAGTTGATCTGAAAGTCAGGCTTTCCAAAGCTACTGAGCTAGTTGACAGGCATTTACAGGTGATCTATGTATACAATGTTATTTAACCTGGTGCATTTACTTCTAAATATCTTGATGCTTCTTCTTGCTGTCTCTTGAGTCATTTTATTTTCTACCTGTGACAGTCAATACGTGTAGCAGAGAAGATTTCGCAAAAGGTTGAGGGGCAGCTATCAAAATCACAGAAAGAGTTTCTTCTGCGTCAGCAGGTTTGAGTTACCTATAATTTGTTTATATATCAGGCTACATGTTTAGACATTTTGGCGTTTTTTGATCATATCATTTAGGATTAAACCAATTGGTTTGACCTTCTTAGGGGACTTATTGCCTTTGGCAAGGTAAGCAAACCCCCATCCTCCAAAGCCCCTCTCACAAGTCACAATATCTCCACCTGGGTCTTTTGGGTTGGTTTGGTGGTTTGAACGAAGTACAAGTCTTGTAATTTAAGGATAATAAGAAAAAAAAAATACGCGTAAATTTTCTTTTTATGCAAGGATGAATGTTAGTTTATGGTCAAGGGTGTAGATGCAAAGGGCTATTCAGTTTTCCATTTGTCAATATTTTATGGTAAACTGTTACAAAATTAGTATTATTTTCTAAAATTACTGTCTTATTCCAGCTCTGAGGCTTATCCATTTGAAATGCTTTTTAGATGAGAGCTATAAAAGAGGAGCTTGGTGACAACGATGATGATGAAGATGATGTAGCAGTATTAGAAAGAAAGATGCAAGGTGCAGGAATGCCTTCAAATATCTGGAAGCATGCCCAGAGGGAGTTAAGGTATATTTCTTCTGAGAAATCATAGAGTATAGAATGATGATATATTGATGATAGATCTCCTTAGTTGTGGCAATGACAGTAGCTGAGTTTTAGTAGACTGAATGCCAATGTAAACTCCTTTTATTTTCTGAGGTTTATATGAAGAGACACCATGGCATTCTGGACATCCCTCAAGTCTGAAATGAGTCTCGTAGAGACATGGATTAAAAAAATAGAACAAAGTTGTTGGCATGAAGGGATTAAATGCTTTGATGGCTGAAATGCGTAGAATTAATAGACTTAAAATGGTAAGAATTGTGCAAACTGTGGCATTAGAGAGCTAACTCTCTCTCTCCCTTTTTCTTTTCTTCTTTTGGCTTCGGGCAGTATTTTGTATCAAACTCATTTGATGGTGATTGGACAACCCAGGTCCTATTAACACTGGAACCTTATATTGAACCCAGTTGGGCTGTATTATGTCTTTATTGTGGGGATATTTTGTGTTAGCTGAGCTTATCTTTATATGAATGTTATGGAACTCATAGAGATTTCCATCCTAATTTTGTTTTGAGTCACCTATAGTATTCTAAGGTCTTTAATCACTAATCTTCTGGTTCCTAGGTGTACGTCCTAGACGATATTGACCACATTTTTATTTTGATATGGGAATTTTAGCCCAAGGGCTTTCTAATAGTTGGTTTGGCTTGAAGGGAGATTTTTTAGATTAATAGCCAACGTCTTTTTGGCCCCTGCTTCCTATCTCTCTCATTTCTTTTCGTTGTCAATTGATTGGGGTGAGCATTCAGTTGGTTTGGTCACTCATATTTGAATTTTCACAAACTGGAATACTGGAATTTTTATAAAAGGAAAAGCGAACTGAACTGCAATATATAGAACACTGAATTGAACCGAAATGAAATTCAAGAAATAACTCAGAAATGGAAGGTAATAACCAAAATTTAATAAAGTATACAATTGAATCAAACCAAATTATTAAAAAATCAAATGTAATTATTGAGATTGAATCAGTTCAGTTCGATTTTCAATTAACTGAACAGTTTGCTCACCCTATCACATTCCTCTTGCTTTGATGCCTTATCAAAAGAAATGGAAGAGAGCCAGAGGGGGGAGGGGAAAGTACTATTTGATTTAGAAGCTTTATAATGTGGCCATTCAACTGGTTTCTGATGGCCACAACTTGGTGCAAGTACATAAATATGCTCACTTTTAATTGCCAGTTCTGTCTTTGGATGCTTTGGGGAAAGCCAATCCAAGTAAATAAATTCTCAAGTATGTTGCTGTTTTGTGAAGGTGAGAGTAATGAGAGCAATACAGAAGTTGCTCATCATTTTTTCTTTCCGAGTTTTGCATAACATGGCAGTGTTAGTTCAAGTTGTGTCCATTTCTAATAGGACCATTAGATTATAGGTCTGGTTAAGGAATCAGAATTAAACCAAGTTGTTGTGGTCTTTATTGTGAATACTTTTGCGGAATACTCGGGCTCAACTTTTTTTCCTGGAAAATTTGTGGAGAACATTTTCCACATTTTTTAGTGTTTGACGTGCACAGAAGTTAAAATGTTCTTTTGGGCAAAAGGAAAACTTAGTCAACTTTTTAAGGTATGACTTATCTTCTTCCAGATTTTGATGCCTTCTTTTTTTTTTCAAAAAGGAATCTATAAGAGGACTGCATAGGCACATGCCTACTAGTTCACTGATTATTGCTGCTACTGTTGGCTGTCACTAGTTGCTGGTGATCACTGCCAGTCTATGTCAACCACCATAATTTATCATTTCCTTTTCTTTGTAATTTTCTCTCCTATTCAATGGGGAGTATGAAGTAGTAGATCAAAATACTGAAGGTCATGCTTTTATGTGGGGGGGAAGGGGGGAGCGTCTTTCGATGTGTACTGAACGTGATGTAACATTCATCATTTTGCTGAAACAGTGGAAAATATTATTCTCTTTTTTTTTTTTTTTTTATATAAAAAAAATGGTTTCTAGAGAAATGTTTTTCCATAGTTGTCTTTCGTGAAACAAATGGCATCATAATCTTTATCAAGCTTTGGGGAGATTTCCTTTCCACATCATGAGTCAATCTTAATGAAGAGGACTGCTTAAACTTTGTATTCTTGTTTGTTGTGACAACTCTGATGATTGTCATTATTATTCATCTCAGGAGGCTTAAGAAAATGCAACCTCAGCAACCTGGGTATAATAGTTCACGTGTTTACTTGGAGCTGCTTGCTGATCTTCCTTGGCAAAAGGCAAGTGAGGAACATGATTTGGACCTAAAAGCTGCAAAAGAACGTCTTGACAGTGATCATTATGGTCTAGTCAAGGTCAAGCAACGGATCATCGAATATCTAGCTGTTCGCAAGGTTGATCTATTTTCTACTAGTTGACGCATTGAATTTGCTTAATCTTTTAATTTTTTTTAACCGAATATTTGTATGAATTATATTGCAGCTTAAACCAGATGCCAGAGGCCCAGTCTTGTGCTTTGTTGGTCCTCCAGGTGTTGGGAAAACATCGTTGGCATCATCTATTGCTGGTGCCCTTGGCAGAAAATTTATTCGCATATCCCTTGGTGGCGTTAAGGATGAAGCAGATATTAGAGGGCATAGGAGAACATACATAGGAAGCATGCCAGGGCGCCTGATTGATGGTTTAAAGGTACAAAGTCTTTGCAATTCTTCCAATATCTTTTCCACATTTCTTGCTGCATCATTCTAGTAAGGCAGGTGTTGACCATACATTTTTTGGTATGTTCTGAGCGGCATCAAGCTGTTTACATGAGAAATTCAATGTATCTTTTTAGAAAAGCAGAAAATTTCTTTTGGCAGTAATAATTGCATTACAACTGAAGCTTATTCTCCCTGTTATATGTTCTGTTGATGATCCATATAACTTCTAAACAAATAAATGGCCTACAGTCAAGGAAGTCTAAACAGTTTTTTTCTTACCCATATAAATTAATTCTATTAATTTCTGTGAGTTGGTCTATGTGGATCTTCTTATGTTTTGACTTCTAAAACCATATAAATTTGTCTAGTTTGTGCCTGCGCCACTCAGTTTTCATTATGCCAGGAGGCGTGTTGTATTAGAGTTGTCTAGTTCTGCAACTATTTTCACTTGTAACCTCTTTTTCGTTTCTCATTCTTTTCTCTCTGGTACTTCTCCCTCACATTCTGTGCGAAATTGCATCACTAGTGATATTGCAAACTCATGACCATGCACACCTGTATTATTGTGCATGGTTTTTCAGTAATGTACCTGATTATGGTCATGTTGGCTCTCATGAGCTGTATTAAGGTACTGTAAATACGAGAATAAATCAAGACCTGGTTGAGTTTTTCAATTATATACAAATATTTTATGGGAAAGATCTCTTCATGATGATTGTTTGTGTTAGGTTAGGTGATGATTTTGAATTTTCGATGTTTTACCTTTCTTGTTGTGTGTGATTGCTGACATCTATTCGGGATGAGGTAGACTCATGATCTTGTGTATTTTGGCTTTTAGAGAGTAGGTGTTTGCAATCCTGTCATGCTATTGGACGAGATTGACAAGACAGGTTCTGATGTGCGGGGGGATCCAGCTTCAGCTCTGCTGGAGGTTCTTGATCCTGAACAGAACAAGACATTCAATGATCAGTATCCTTTTTTTCCTTCAGGATGTCACCGTTCTTGGACATATGTTTATGCTAGTTTGCACTTTTCATAACTAATAATCTTCTAATCCTAGTCTATAGAGAGCCAACTTTTGATTTATCTGTTTCCAGTTATATTAATAATACAAATTTAAAAGTTTTTCGCAATTAATCTTCTAGACAACTATTTTTTATGTGCTTTGCTTTTCTCTGTCAGCTTGAGGAGACATGGGCTCACATAATTTTGGGTGGGGAACTTTGTGCAACTTAAAGATGATTAGACGTGGTTAGGTCTAAGGTCCACTTAATATTATTTTTTACAAAAATATTTTGTAAACGAGGTTTTCATTAATGAGTTTGAACATGCTGTGTTTATTTGAATTAATCACCTTCATTGCATTTTAAGATTATTATTCCTTAATTAAAGGTCCATAGCTATTTGAACGTTCCCTTTGACCTTTCCAAAGTGATTTTCGTGGCAACTGCAAATAGGGCACAGCCTATTCCTCCTCCACTCTTGGACAGGATGGAAGTAATTGAGCTCCCTGGATATACACCTGAAGAAAAGCTCAGAATAGCTATGCGGCATTTGATTCCACGGGTTTTGGATCAGCATGGGTTGAGTTCTGAGTTCCTTCAAATTCCAGAGGTACTAAATTAGTGACGTGTGATTTTATAATTGAGATAATCATCTTTTTTTTTTTTTTTTTTTTTTTTGATAATCAATCTTTTTTTTTTTTTTGTTTTTTATTTGATCATTTTCATTAATTACAAATAAAACTGAGTTTGTTTTATGTCTGGGGCATATAAATGATTTGCTTGAAAATAGGCCTTTGGTTGTATATTTTTACGTTATCATTTTTTTTTTTTTTTTTTTTTTTATTTGTCATTTTCATTATTAAAAATCAAAACATGAGTGTTTTATGTTGGGGCATAAATGATTTGCTTGATAGGCCTTTGGTTGTAGTATTTACTGTTACATTCTATGTTGTGAATATTAGTTGTTGAGAGCAGTCAATCAATACTTTCAGCAGTTACCTTGAGAAAGATGTAGTCATATATTGTCTATTAATTGAAGTTCCTGTTTTTATGTAAATATCCAAGTTTAAGTTGTGAAAAGAGTGGTTTGTGCTTGTGCTTAATATTAGTGAACCAGATCACCAGTGTCTTTTGTTTCTTCTGTCATAGTCTTCGAAACCAAGAACTAGAATACAGAATGGTTTTTGGTATTTTTGCTAGTTTTCCATGTACTTATCAGATGGTTCATCCAATCCTGCCTTTTTTCTCCTAAATGGTCCAGACTAGTTACAACCAAAACTACCAATTTCTGCCCTTTACAATCCAATTACACAAAAACTGCAAACTATCTGATTCTCATGTTGACAATCTGGTTATCATCATTCATCATTATTTACAAACTAAGATGCATATTCAATTTTCATATCTCCTCTCTTTGGAACCCACAAGAAAAGAAGATACTTTGGGAAAATTCTTACTTCCCAAGTTGTTGCATAATTCACACATTATATTACACATGCTGTACAGGTATTTATCTTGAATTTCTTTTCAATGTTCTAGTCTATGGTGAAACTAGTCATTCAGAGGTACACTAGGGAGGCTGGTGTCCGGAATCTGGAGAGGAACTTAGCTGCTTTGGCTCGTGCTGCAGCTGTAAGAGTTGCAGAGCAAGAACAAGAACATGAACAAGCTCTCCCATTGAGCAAAGATATGCACCGTCTTCCTTCACCATTATTGGAGAATAGACTTGCTGATGGAGCTGAAGTGGAAATGGAAGTCATTCCAATGAATGATAGCAATCATGAGATATCTCACTCATTCAGGGTTGCCTCACCTTTAGTTGTGGATGAAAATATGCTGGAGAAAGTACTAGGGGTAATGATTTTGCTCATAAGCTCTTCATTTCTGTTTGGTGCTTAGCATTTGTTGTTTATCAATTGTGTATTATTGTGCCCTAAGCTTGTGTTGTTCAAGCTTAATTGTTAAGAAGTGCTTTGGCAGAAGTGCTTTGGCTGAAGCATTTGAACAACTGTTTGGTTATACATTTCGAGTGGGAATTCATAGTATATTTTTTACTGTTGTCACTGCTGAAAACCTAACTAGTGCTCTAATGGTATCTCACTTTTTTTCCCCTGCTTAGAGACATGCAGTCTAAAAGTCGTAGTTGCAGTCTTAATGTAGCCTTTGCTACTGGTTCCTTTATGCAGTCAGATTCTCATGCATTATATGCTTCTGAAACAGATGAGCTTTGATAGGCAGAATGCTTTGGTTTTTCAATTACTTAAATTGTAACCTGAATTTTCTCCTAATTTTAAACAGACCTAATGTCATGTTCATTTGAACTGTAATGCAGCCTCCTAAATTTGATGATAGAGAAGCTGCAGAGCGTGTGGCAAATCCTGGTATATCGGTTGGGCTTGTTTGGACCTCATTTGGTGGAGAGGTTCAGTTTGTGGAGGCTACATCAATGGCAGGGAAGGGGGAATTACATCTCACTGGGCAACTTGGTGATGTTATTAAAGAATCAGCACAAATAGCACTGACATGGGTAATCATTATCCTCCCAAATCACTTACCTATGTGAAATTACTTTGTGAGCTGCTGACTCTGTATGCTAGAACCTAGTACATATTTTACACACATAATTCAATTCAAAATGTATAGAACAATCAATTTTTTTTAAAAAAAAATTTTTTATACTAAATTATATAAGAAGTCCGGTTCAAATTTACCCTACTATTGCATCTCTCACATAATTTTTATCTGTATATTCCCATTGTTGCAATTTATCTACTTCTTTGGGAGTAGTGTAATTTTGTATAGCTGAAGGAAAAGGCAGTACCCTTTTCTGTTTACTGCTATTGTTTTCTTCATTTCTTTGGGAATTTTACCATGTAAAAGAAAAGATGTATCATTCAGTGCTTAATTGCCTTTGCCTCATATAATTGCCGATCTGCTTTGGGTTAAGGCTCCAGCATATGTAGCTATTTCAAATGTTCTCACAAAATTAGCAAAAAGCATCCCGTTTTCTACTATTGGAAAAGTTAGTTTAGAAATATCTTCTTAAATTGTAGGTACGAGCCAGAGCAACAGATCTTAAGTTGGCAGCTGCTCAGGAAATAAATCTTCTTGATGGCAAGGATATTCATATACATTTCCCTGCTGGGGCTGTACCCAAGGATGGACCCTCAGCTGGAGTGACACTAGTAACGGCTCTAGTTTCACTGTTCAGTCAGAAAAGAGTAAGAGCAGATACAGCAATGACTGGAGAGATGACTTTGAGGGGTCTTGTACTTCCTGTTGGTGGTATTAAGGATAAGGTAATGCAAGCCTATATGATTTTATTCTTATTATTTTCATCTGTAAGGAGAGGAATTTAGCAATCATGGAGCATCGGTCCTGTTGGTTTCAATAATGTTAAGTTTCTGCATACTTGCACACAATAGTGAATGGGTGCCTATGAATTTATCTTTAATATTATCCTGACATGCTACCTAGCAGTGGCCACATGGTGCTTTCTTTAAGTTTGGATTCATCAACCATGTTTACATATTTCATTACCACCATCCGGATAAGGAGTTGGAATTGTGAACAGATGAGGCTGATGTCTTAACAATTCATTTAACGCTGAAGTTTAAATTTTAGCATCATGGAATTGTATGTAACAGAATGTATGTGGTAGCTTGGCCATTTGTATGTAACAGAGTATATGTGGTAGCTTTTGTTGTTGTCAGTATCCAAACATTTGTTGTCATACATGAGGTGAATGCATGATTTGATGGTTTTCAATGTGGCATTGATTAATTTGTAGTTGGTTTAAAGATATGCTTAAGAAAAAAGTCAAATGTCTCTGCTTTTCCTAATATGAACTTCAGTTCTTAGCTTGGAAGAACCAATGGATCTTCATTTTTTCATATAGAAATGTTCTTCTAATACCAGAATTTTGGATTCTTGTGTTGTTTTCTTGCAGATATTGGCAGCACATCGTTATGGTATCAAGAGAGTAATACTACCAGATAGAAATTTGAAGGACTTAGTTGAAGTACCAAAAGCTGTGCTTGGCAATCTTGAGGTAATTAAATTCTAATCATAATTAACAGACAAGTCCTGATCTACTTTGCCTTGCATCATCAAATATATATGTACAAATTTCTTCAAATCTCATTGAGAAGTTAACATGTGCATCCTCTGCTTTTGAGGCACGATTGTTCTGAGTTCTCCATCTGCACCAACTATTAGAAAAAGAAACGGAGAAAGAAATAAAGTTTTTCTTTAGAATTATGTTTTCCTGATTTGCATTTATCTGCTGTTGATTTTGTTATTCTGTTATTGCATTACTGGTCACTGACCGATATTTAATTCTATCATTTTAACAGATCATACTAGCCAAGCGAATGGAAGATGTGTTGGAGCAGGCATTTGAAGGTGGTTGCCCATGGAGGCAACACTCAAAGTTATGACACTATACACTAGGTGGGGATGTTTATTGAATATCTTATGGTGGGGTTATTCAGCTTGGCATTGTATCCATCCGGCAGATGGATTGCCCTTCATTCCTGCTGCCTCCGGCAACTGGAAATCAAAACCGTTACATAGAAAGAGAGCTCGATTAGTGCAAGGGAAACTAACCAAATATCCGTCCTTAAAAATGAAAAAGAAAAATATTCAATGGGAGCTTTCCCTGACGCCTCGGCCACCGTGTTCTTCCCCTTCCCATATCTGGCTGTATTTATAGTGGGTGAACCACTCCTTTCCCTCTGTTTAACTTTCTTCTCCCCTCTGTTGTATAATCACAGATCAATTCTTATATTGTGTATAATTTATTATTTAATCCTGCAAGCCAATGCTTGCAATCTGATTTCTGTTGAAGTTACTTTAAATTGTTTATAGCATTTGATTTGGAACGAATGAATTTCATAAATTTAACTCAGGTATATTTGGAAGGAAAAGTGTGAATTCTAGGAGTCGGTGGTTTGTACAAGACTCCAATCACTTAGAGATATAATATTTTAAGAAAAATAAAAATAATATTTTATGAATGGGGATAACCGTGTTTGAATATTAAATTTGGTCTAAGCGCAAGAAAAAATTTTTTATTTAACAAGGAGAATATATCTCAATGGTAAATTACATGGATTCTAATTGAAAGCTACTTTTCAATAAATTTTATCCAAGTATGACCATTTTTTATTGCATATCCAAAATCTGAAAATCAAAAAAGAACTCGGTAATTTTATGGAATTCATTTATATTAAATGGTCATCCAACTTTTTCAGACTAGTTTTTGACTTGTATTTTGATTACGAGAAACTTGAATGATAGTGGATAAGCCCTTGTACCTTCTCTTTAATGCAAGCTAGACTCCCCAATAACCAGTGTAAAAAGAATGCTATTTTCGTTCTATAATACACTTTCTGGTCCAAAATATAAGTTGTTTAAGATTTTTCACAAATATGAAGGAACCAATTAATTCTCCTAAATTATAATAAATTCAAAAGCAATTTAGCCCACTAAGGATAATGGTTATTGGCTCAAGTTGATCCAGGATTATTGAGCATAAAATGATTAGTTTATCCTCATATAGCCATACAAAATGTCATTTATGTCCCCACTGAAAATTGATAGATTTAAAATTTGAATTTCAAATCTGTATCTCTCTTCATTAAATACCTTAGACAAAGTAGCAAGTCGGTTACATCCCCAATGCACATGCTAGGGTTTTGTTTTACTATTATTAATTGTTTCCCTTTCATTTTTTTTTTATTTTTGTTTAATATATATATGGTGTCATGTCCTTTCATAATATATTTTTATATATTTAAATTTTATATGACAATTAATACAAATGTGCTATTCCAAATTAGGATTCATCGATACCCACAACCAATGTTATATATTAGTTGTATGAGTCAAAATGAATGGATGAAGGCTTTTAGCTTGGATAGTACATGTGTAGGTTGATTAACTTGGTTATAGGGATTGGTCTTAAGATCAATTCCTCCATGTATTATTTTTTAAATTTGATGAAATTGTTAATTTAAATAGAGATCAAATGATGTGAATGCATATTTATCCGATTAAACATTAGTTTATTGTTAGTATTATAAAATTTTATTGGTTTTTTTTTAGTAAAATAGATAATGTGAGCTTACAGAATAAGTTTATGCTCGCTTTGCCTTATGGAGGATTCAAACTATAGATTAACTTGTATTAACCACCTAATTCGATTAGTTAATTGAAAATGTTGAAAGTATAGCACTTATAAGTCATTTTAAAGATAATTACAATAGCAATGTAGATAGTGCAACATAGAAATTGAAAATGCTAATTCAATTGCTCTACGATAATTTGCTGGATAGCATAATTTAAATTATAATGCACTCACCAAACTTATGTAATGGAAGATTGTAGTAGATTTTTAAAAATTTTGTTAAATGGACAAATGATTTAATAGCACAATCTACTACTCATGTAATTTCAATGATTTAGATAAAAATAATGGTGTCATGTTCCTTTCATAATATATTTAGTAGCAACAATTAGAAAATTGAAAGCTAAATTCAATTGCTCTAAACGATAATTTTGCTGGATAGCAAATAATTAAATTATATGACACTCACCCAACTTAAGTATGGAAGATTGTAGTAGAATTTTTTAAAAAATTTTGTTAATGGACAAATGATTTATAGCACAAATCTACTACGTCATGCTTTAATATTCAATGAGATTAGATTTAAAATAATGGTGTCATGTTCTTTTCAATAATATATTTTTATAATATTTATTTTTTTATGACATTATAAATATGTTCTTGCTAATTGAGGTTTAATCAAATGTCACGATAAATTTATATATTAAGTTGTTTGGGGTAAAACAAATTGGGTGAGGGCGTTAGATTGGATGGTAACAGAATGCTAAGTCTAGTTAAATTGCATTGTAGAGAGTCGTTTGGATTGAATTCCTTTGTGAGTTCATTTTTTTAATATAAAATTCTTCCATGAATCTTTTTCTATGCCATATCTCACATTTTTAAAAAATTCGTATTATTGGCTAGTCAACGTGCTAAGATGTTGAATTGGTTTAAGGAGAATTTTAAGTTTGCTAATATTGGTTTTTGAACAAAACATTTAATGCATTAATGATGAGCTATTATGCATTAATTTTTTTTCTTCTAGCATTAATAATGATGATTTTTACTTCCCCCCAACTTAGGCATTTCCCATCTAATTTAAATCCTCCAAAACCCACCAAGACTAATAAGTTGTCTTTTTGGGATGCGTGATCCATGTATTATGAGCCATTTAAGCTTATCCTTTAATCAAATATTCTTTTTCTCAAAAATCAATATTGCTTGTGAAAGGTATTTTTATTATATAATAGTCTAATTGGCTCAGGATCTTGATCATGCACTGTAAATGACATATATTAATCTTGAGTGGTTTTGGAGGGAATATAATGGGTGGGAAAGAAATGTATTTTTGAGTAAAAATGTGTTAGTTGCTATTGTAAATATTGTATACTGTTATAAGCTAGTTTAAATTACCATCAATTAGGAGACCAATTATGTCATATTAGGACATAATTAGGCTGTAAATGTCAACCATAATTAAGGAGACATGGGCATCAAAGTTAGGAGACATATTAGGCATCAATTAGGGAACCAATTAAGGCTGTAATTGCTAGCAATAATTAGGAGACAAATGGGCATCAATTAGGGCTGTAATTTAGGAATTTATTCCCAAATTTGTGGATACTTCAATTTATTTAAACCCAATCAGCTTGGGGGAATAAAAAAGCAAATTTCTATCAAAATTTCATTGAAATACAGCAAGTTTGTCATGGTATCACAGCCTAATTAGGCAATTTTAGAGCTATTCTTTTATGAGTTTTAGCTTTGTGTTTTTTTTAAGAACAAAGTGCAGATTCTGCTGTCTTTAATTCTGCAGTTTCTGTTTCTGCTTTCTTTGTTTAGTTCATATCTTTGATGAACTCTCGTTCATAGAAATTCCGAATTTCTATTTGGAGGTCTATTTGGAGTTCTCTTCATTTGGAAAGATTCTGGTGGGACATTTTTTGCTCTTGGTGGGTCTGTTGCTTCTTCTTAGTAGACCTGCTCCTGGTTTTGTATATTACAATTTTCCATTCTTAGTCTCCTGTGACTATTTGAGATGGGCCACTTCCAACACATTGAGAGTTTTTCATGTCCGTTTCACCGGAAAAAATTACTCTTCATGGGAATTTCAGTTCCAGCTCTTTGTTACAGGAAAAAGAACTGTTGGGGTCATATGGAGATGGAAGTGATCCAGCTCCAAAGATTGCTAAGGAGTTGCTTCATTGGGAAAGTTTAGAGATGCAAAAGAGTAATGACATGGATTCTGGTGGGTCAGTTGACCTCTTATTGCTTCTAATTCTGAGCTTCTCTAAAACTGCAAAAGCCATTGTAGGATTACTTGAAAAAAGGTCTATAATCAAGACAATGCTGCCAAAGACGTTTCCAATTGGACGGAGGCGATATTGCTAAATTATTCCCAAGGGAAATCTCTCCATTCAGGGAATTTATTATCTGGTTTTTCAAAATTTATTGGGCTGAGTTTAACTGACACTATTTATGCTAAAGTGCCTGCAGAATCCTCCTTTGTACTTCAAGAAAATTCATAAGCAAAAGCAAAAAGAGATCAATTCTTAATGAAGTTGAGGTCTGAATTTGAGACACTTCGCTCAAATTTAATGAAGTTCGTGTTTCCTGTTACCTTCTTTAATATTTGTTTTTGGCGAAATCGGAGGGAAGAACAACATTTCTCATCAGAAACTCTCTCCAACAAGAAAATTCTAGATCAAGGTTGCCTTTTGCTGCCCAAGGAAGAGGAAGTGCGGGACATGAGTAGATTCAATGTTATTAACGCAACAATGTTATAACTGCAAAAATTATGGCCATATTGCTGGCAATTGTGGAAAGAAGTTTTGTAATTATTGCAAACAGTCAGGACATGTCATAAAGGAGTGTCCGACACAGCCTCAAAATCGAAAATCGAATTCTGCCCCAATTGCACCAAATAATCTCACTCATTTTGCTGCTTCAACAGTTTCTACAACTCCCTCTTCAGCTGTTGAACCTGTGATTCTTACTCTAGAAATGGTACAACAAATGATTATTTCAACCTTCTCCGCCTTAGGACTACTAGGTAATGATACCCCATCCTCATCTCAACTTTGGCTTGTTGATTCTGCTGCCTCAAATCATATGAAAAACACATCTAGCATGCTTACCAATGTTCGCAAATATCATGGTTCAACTGAAATTCAGATTGCAAATGGTAGTACAATACCTATTACTGAGATTGCCATGTTTTCAACAATGTTTTATATCTCCAAAGCTCTCAACTAAAGCTTCTTTTTGGGTTGGTCAGTTAGTAGGAATAACAATTATGATGTGCATTTCTCTCGTAATGGTTGTCTTGTGCAGGATCAGGCATCGGGGACAGTAATCGCGAAGGGGCCTAAAGTTGGGAGACTTTTTCCACTACTATTTTTCGTTCCTCGTATCTCTTCAGTAAAAGTGAACTATGGCATAGACGTTTATGTCATCCTAATCCAGTTATTTTGTCTCATTTATCAAATTCTGGTTTCTTGGGCAATAAAGAATTCCTTGCTAAGGTTCCTTTTGATTGTTCCACATGTAGACTCAGTAAAAGCAAAACTCTTCCTTTTCCTTCTAATGGTAGTCGTGCTGTCCAATGTTTTGATATAATTCATAGTGATGTCTGGGGCATTACGCCCGTTATTTCTCATGCTCTCATGCGCTCAATACAAAGTAACTTTGTGACATTTATTGATGATGTACAGTAGATATACATGGGTATACTTCCTTCATTCTAAATCTTGATGTATATTATGTTTTCAAGACCTTT